CAGACATATATTATTCTTCTTAACCATAGACAGACCTGCCCTCTAACACTAACCCCAACCCTGAACATAGACTTAACCCCAGCCCTAAGCCCTAACTCTATTCATAACCCTGACATTGCCCCTAACTCAAGACTTAGAACTCGCCCTAAACGTAGACCTAACCCTAAACACTCACGAAACGCCCAACCCTTAACCCGAACCCCAACCCTCGCTATGAAACCTAAACTCTAGCCATAATCCTGAGCATAGACCTAGACCTTAACACTATCCATTAAATTTCGATTTAAAGCTTTCGTGACTGCAAGGATTCATGTTCTTTGGTTCTTTCGGTAAAGTCACGTAGAATGAGAATAAAATAATACATTAATAAAATAAAATAAGACAATAAAATTCTCACGACGTTTTCGGCCACTTGTGTTGTGGCCGAAACGTCGTGAGAATTTTATTGTCTTATTTTATTAATGTATTATTTTATTCTCATTCTACGTGACTCCACTTGTGTTGTGGCCCGAAACGTGGTGAGAATTTTATTGTGTTATTTTATTTTATTAATTTATTATTTTATTCTCATTCTACGTGACTTTACCGAAAGAACCAATGAAGACTATCCACTAGCTCCAATCTCAAAAACGCTAACCTCTACCCCTTATTCCTACTTTAAACCCCATGCCTAGAAGTAAACCCAAAGACCGACCCGTCCCGTAACAACTCGGCCTACCAAACAGGTCCCTGCAGGGTGGGCTGGTAGGAACATTGGAATTTTGCGCAATTTTATTTTCACACCCCGACAGCACGAGATTTCACTTCGTTAAAGTATTGAAAGGGGACGGACGGACGGACACATTAATCTATTGCAGGCTGGTACACTCAGTTCACAACTTCGTTCATACCAGTATTCCTACCAGTATAACCCCCCTAGCCTTGACTCCTAAACCCTGGAGCTATGGTGCCAGGGAGTCGGTGTGTGTGGGTGGGAATCCTTGCAGTCACGAAAGCTTCAAATCTAGAACGCGCGGCATGTGTCTGTATCGTGCAGCAATTCAACTGCATGCAGTCGTTAATGTTTACAAATCGTAAAACGAGCGTCGTGGACGCAGATGAACAGTCCAGTGAAATGCGAGTACAGTATGATGGTGTGTGCACAGTATACAGCATATGAACTTTAGGCAGTGTCCATGGATGAGAATGACATTGTAAAGTTTGGTTCATGACGAATGCACTTGCGATCAGCACGGTTGGCTACGTACGATGCGAAAGAAGTTCAACAGACATACATGCAAAGGACTCGCGCAGAGATCCACAGACTCGCACAGAGACCCACAGACTCGCACAGAGACCCACAGACTCGCACAGAGATCCACAGACTCGCACAGAGACCCACAGACTCGCACAGAGACCCACAGACTCGCACAGAGATCCACAGACTCGCACAGAGACCCACAGACTCGCACAGAGACCCACAGACTCGTACAGAGATCCACAGACTCACACAGAGATCCACAGACTCGCACAGAGACCCACAGACTCGCACAGAGACCCACAGACTCGCACAGAGATCCACAGACTCGCACAGAGACCCACAGACTCGCACAGAGACCCACAGACTCGCACAGAGATCCACAGACTCGCACAGAGACCCACAGACTCACACAGAGACCCACAGACTCGCACAGAGACCCACAGACTCGCACAGAGACCCACAGACTCGCACAGAGACCCACAGACTCGCACAGAGACCCACAGACTCGCACAGAGACCCACAGACTCACACAGAGGAGGGCCATTGCCCGAAACGTCACCTGTTATAAAATCGTTTTTTTTCCCTTTTGAGTGTGTCGTCGTTGTACTAAACACATACAGAACCTGTATGTGTGTAGTACACACTTGGCATGTAGGCTCTGCCACATTGTGTCACACCTGTGCATTGCTGTATATACGGGTGGGGCTCTTTAACACATACCTCTGTGTACGCACTATGCAGGTCGACTGTATGTGTGTTATTGTAGTCAGCTGGGCTGTTTAACACTGTGTGTGAATGTGTGATGTAGTCAGCTAGGCTGTTTAACACTGTGTGTGAATTTGTAATGTAGTTAGGTAGGCTGTTTAACACTGTGTGTGAATGTGTGATGTAATCAGCTAGGCTGTTTAACATGGTGTGTGAATGTGTGTATTGTAGTCAGATAGGCTGTTTAACACTGTGTGTGTTATGTAGTCAGGTAGGCTGTTTAACACTGTGTGTGAATGTGTTATGTAGTCAGCTAGGCTGTTTAACACTGTGTGTGAATGTGTGATGTAGTCAGCTAGGCTGTTTAACACTGTATGTGAATGTGTGATGTAGTCAGCTAGGCTGTTTAACACGGTGTGTGAATGTGTGAATTGTAGTCAGCTAGGCTGTTTAACTGTGTGTGTGTGTTATGTAGTCAGCTAGGCTGTTTAACACTGTGTGTGAATGTGTATTGTAGTCAGGTAGGCTGTTTAACACTGTGTGTGAATGTGTGAATTGTAGCCAGGTAGGTTGTTTAACACTGTGTGAATGTGTGATGTAATCAGCTAGGCTGTTTAACACGGTGTGTGAATGTGTGTATTGTAGTCAGCTGGGCTGTTTAACACTGTGTGTGTTATTGTAGTCAGCTGGGCTGTTTAACACTGTGTGAATGTGTTATTGTAGTCAGCTGGGCTGTTTAACTGTGTGTGTGTGTGTTATGTAGTCAGCTAGGCTGTTTAACTGTGTGTGTGTGTTATGTAGTCAGCTAGGTTGTTTAACACTGTATGTGAATGTGTGATGTAGTCAGCTAGGCTGTTTAACACTGTGTGAATGTGTGATGTAATCAGGTAGGCTGTTTAACACTGTGTGTGAATGTGTTATGTAGTCAGCTAGGCTGTTTAACACGGTGTGTGAATGTGTGTATTGTAGTCAGATAGGCTGTTTAACACTGTGTGTGAATGTGTGAATTGTAGCCAGGTAGGTTGCTTAACACTGTGTGTGAATGTGTGATGTAATCAGCTAGGCTGTTTAACACGGTGTGTGAATGTGTGTATTGTAGTCAGATAGGCTGTTTAACACTGTGTGTGTTATGTAGTCAGGTAGGCTGTTTAACACTGTGTGTGAATGTGTGATGTAGTCAGCTAGGCTGTTTAACACGGTGTGTGAATGTGTATTGTAGTCAGGTAGGCTGTTTAACACGGTGTGAATGTGTGAATTGTAGCCAGGTAGGTTGTTTAACACTGTGTGTGAATGTGTATTGTAGTCAGCTAGCCTGTTTAACACGGTGTGAATGTGTGAATTGTAGCCAGGTAGGTTGTTTAACACTGTGTGTGAATGTGTTATGTGGTCAGCTAGGCTGTTTAACATTGTGTGAATGTGTTATGTAGTCAGCTGGGCTGTTTAACACTGTGTGTGAATGTGTGATGTAATCAGCTAGGCTGTTTAACACTGTGTGTGAATGTGTTATGTAGTCAGCTGGGCTGTTTAACTGTGTGTGTGTGTGTTATGTAGTCAGCTAGGCTGTTTAACACTGTGTGAATGTGTGAATTGTAGCCAGGTAGGTTGTTTAACACTGTGTGTGAATGTGTGATGTAATCAGCTAGGCTGTTTAACACTGTGTGTGAATGTGTTATGTAGTCAGCTAGGCTGTTTAACACTGTGTGTGAATGTGTGTTATGTAGTCAGCTAGGCTGTTTAACACTGTGTGAATGTGTTATGTAGTCAGCTAGGCTGTTTAACACTGTGTGTGAATGTGTTATGTAGTCAGCTGGGCTGTTTAACACGGTGTGTGAATGTGTTATGTAGTCAGCTAGGCTGTTTAACACTGTGTGTGAATGTGTGTAGTCAGGTAGGCTGTTTAACACTGTGTGAATGTGTGTATTGTACGTGTGTGTGCTATACAGGAAAGATGTTCAACACGCAACCGTGGGTGTATGTGCTATATAGATATGCTGTATAACCCTCACCTGTACGTGTGTATTGTACGTGTGTGTGCGATACAGGTAGGCCGTGTAACACCACTCACCTGTGTATGTGTGTGTACTGTACAGGTGGGGTGTGTAACATCGCTCACCTGTGTGTGTGTGTACTGTACAGGTGGGGTGTGTAACATCGCTCACCTGTGTGTGTGTTATACAGGTGGGGTGTGTAACACAACTCACCTGTGTGTGTTATACAGGTAGGGTGTGTAACACCACTCACCTGTGTGTGTGTTATACAGGTGGGGTGTGTAACACCACTCACCTGTGTGTGTGTGTGTGTGCTATACAGGTGTGGTGTGTAACACACCACTCACCTGTGTGTGTGTGTTATACAGGTGGGGTGTGTAACACACACTCACCTGTGTGTGTGTTATACAGGTGGGGTGTGTAACACTACTTACCTGTGTGTGTGTTATACAGGTGGGGTGTGTAACACCACTCACCTGTGTGTGTTATACAGGTGGGGTGTGTAACACACACTCACCTGTGTGTGTGTTATACAGGTGTGTGTGTTATACAGGTGGGGTGTGTAACACCACTCACCTGTGTGTGTGTGCTATACAGGTGTGGTGTGTAGCACACACTCACCTGTGTATGTGTGTGCTATACAGGTGGGGTGTGTAACACACACTCACATGTGTGTGTGTGTTATACAGGTGGGGTGTGTAACACACACTCACCTGTGTGTGTGTTATACAGGTGGGGTGTGTAACACACACTCACCTGTGTGTGTTATACAGGTGGGGTGTGTAACACACACTCACCTGTGTGTCTGTGTTATTCAGGTGTGGTGTGTAACACACCACTCACCTGTGTGTGTGTGTGTGCTATACAGGTGTGGCGTGTAACACACACTCACCTGTGTGTTATACAGGTGTGTGTGTAACACACACACTCACCTGTGTGTGTTATACAGGTGAGTGGTGTGTAACACACCACTCACCTGTGTGTGTGCTATACAGGTGTGGTGTGTAACACACACACACTCACCTGTGTGTGTGTGTTATACAGGTGTGCCGTGTAACACCGCTCACCTGTACGCGCGTGCGTGTCGGGCCGACCGCGGGCGGTGCTGTCGACCCGCTGGGGGCCACTCTGGGGTCAAAATCGCTGCGAGTGAAAACTCGAACCGGCCGGTCCCAAGCGCCAGGGGTGCTGCCCCCCCCCACACCCCTCTGGATCAGCCCCTGCCCCCGCCGCTGCTGCCGCCGCTGCTGCTGCTGCTGCCACCACTTGGTGAGGTTTCTCCTGCGGCCACTGCGCTCGCCCCGCGCTCTTATGGACTCGGAGGCGTGGGCGCTGAGCGCGTGGGTGGACTCAGACGGAAAAGCTGCAGCCGCCTCAGCTGCCCTGCAGGGTTTTGACACTGCGTCTGGTGCTCACATATATATTTATTTATTTTAGAAGATTTTGTTTTTGGTTTTTAATCCTGGGGTGTAAGGTTCCCCAACTTAGCCGCTGTGTAGCTCTCCGGTTGTCACTATTGACAGCCAGAGCGAAGTGAAGGATTATGTCTATCTTACATCTGACAAACACTTAAAACGCGTGCTTTTACAGATACGCGTAGACACCGATACTCCCATAGACCCACGGCAGCCCACAGAGGCCCACATTAAAACTAAACAAAAACAACGTATTTGACCAGGTAAGGCCCCACTGAGATAGATAGCTCTTTCTTTTTCTTTCAGTGACCTGGCCATTGCAATTGATAGCTCAATGGAGTGGATGATCAGTATCATCATCGTGTGGACATGTACTAGCAAGCAGCCGAAGAACTCTCGCAACGGGTGACGGTCATTCTAAATGTGGAGGGGGAAAATCGGAGGATCTGGAGGAAAAACCACGCAGTCACGGGGGAGAGAGAAACACAGAGAGAGAGAGAGGGAGAGACGCAGACTTCAAATATACAGCAGCAGGCGTCGGGGCTCGGGATAGAACCCATAGCCTCCTGCAATACCAGGCGAAATGGTGAACATCTCCTAGCCAAGAAGGGGCTTCACTAAATAATCTCAAGGCTCTTCTTGAGAAGGGTGCTGACAGGTTGTTATTGTTACACAAGTCGTAGAAGGTAGCGATGTCGCTTCTGCTGCTGGTGCTGCTGTGCGATCTCAACGCGAGTAATCTGCAGGTAACATTTCCCGCAATGTGATGTCTGTATCCGCGTGTCCATAGTGCAGGGTTTGTTGCGTTAGATCGCTAGTAAGGGTTGTCACGTTAACAGAACGTGCTAATTAGTTACTAGCGCAGCACACCGGTGTGTTGGAGAGCCAAGTCCACAACACTTACACTCTGAGTACGACGTTTCGCCAGTAATTACGACTGGCCTCATCAGGCGGACAACCAGATTTGTGGGGAAATCCTCCTGTTGCGTTCCTTAAGTAGAGGCGAAGATGTGGGCCCTTCACATGTCTAGAACATCTTTCGCACCACCGTACGTAGCCAACCGCGCTAGCCAGAGGTACGGGGGAAGGAGAACAAGAAGCAGTACTACAGAAATGGGTATCTGTGTGAGAAGTCGATGGGTGTCTGTGTGAGTCTATGGGTCTCTGTGTGAGTCTATGGGTCTCTGTGTGAACCTATGGGTCTCTGTGTGAGTCTATGGGTCTCTTTGTGAACCTATGGGTCGCTGTGTGAGTCTATGGGTCTCTTTGTGAGTCTATGGGTCTCTGTGTGAGTCTTTGGGTCTTTTGTGAGTCTATAGATCTCTGTGAGTCTATGGGTCTCTTTGTGAGTCTATGGGTCTCTGTGTGAGTATATGGGTCTCTGTGTGAGTCTATGGGTCTCTTTGTGATTCTATGGGTCTCTGTGTGAGTCTATGTGTCTCTGTGTAAGTAAATGGGTCTCTGTGTGAGTCTATGGGTCTCTTTGTGAGTCTATGGGTCTCTGTGTGAGAAGTCGATGGGTCTCTGTGTGAGTCTATGGGTCTCTGTGTGAGTCGATGGGTCTCTGTGTGAGTCTATGGGCCTCTGTGTGAGTCTATGGGTCTCTTTGTGAGTCTATGGGTCCCTGTGTTAGTCTATGGGTCTCTGTGTGAGAATATGGGTCTCTGTGTGAGAAGTCGATGGGTCTCTGTGTGAGTCTATAGATCTCTGTGTGAGTCTATGGGTCCCTTTGTGAGTCTATAGATCTCTGTGTGAGTCTATGGGTCTCTTTGTAAGTCTATGGGTCTCTGTGTGAGTATATGGGTCTCTGTGTGAGTCTATGGGTCTCTAAGTGAGTCTATGGATCTCTGTGTGAGTCTATGTGTCTCTGTGTAAGTAAATGGGTCTCTGTGTGGGTCTATGGGTCTATGTGTAAGTCTATGGGTCTCTGTGTGAGTCTATGGGTCTCTGTGTGAGTCTATAGGTCTCTTTTTGAGTCTTTGGGTCTCTTTGTGAGTATAGGGGTCTCTGTGTGAGTCATGGGTCTCTATGTGTGTCTCTGTATGTATAACTTCTTTCGCACCGTACGTAGACAACTCAAGCAGGGATTTTGTTTGACCCGTTATGGGCCTCCGTGTAGCCTCCAACAGACTGTGAGGGGCACAAGTGCTGTTAGCGAGCACCTATGAAGGCCGGCACTGTGGCACACGAGGGGGTGGGTGGCCAGCACCACGCCCGGTCGCCTCTGTCTCCCTTAGTGGCGATGTTTACTACACTTCGCACCGAGTACTCATTTGCGGCTGAGTCGACCTAGGGGAGGAGGCCCAGGGCCGGTTCAGATGATCGCTGTCACTGGTGGTTTTGGTGGCCGTGAGCGGGAATCGAACTCGGGTGTCTGCCGGGTTCGTAGTGCAGGGTGCACTCACTGCTACACCACTGCACACAAGACACACACACACACACAACACCACGGCACCCGTGCCAGGCTAGGTGCACTTTGAGGCTATCACGTGAAGTGTCGAAGGCTCGCTGCTGCCTGGCAGGAGGCGTTCACAGGACAGACCCAGCAGTGTGCCATGGGCTTCACCGACTGTGCCCCCTGGCGTGCACACACGCACCCTCACATTAACACTCCCCACCTGTACCAACTCACACCTGTACCAACTCACACCTGTAACAATCTCACGCCTGTAGCACGCTCACTCCCCACACGCGCTGCACAACCAGGGGGGGGGGGGAGGCCGGATAAACCACGCACACACACAGGCAGAGGCGCGCCCGTGTCGGGAATCGAACTGGGGCCACCCTCATCATTGGTAACTGCCTCGCCTGGTATACAGGAGGTCGTGGGTTCGACCCCGACCCTGACGATGCCTGCTGAGTCTGCGTCTCTACTTCCCGTGGTCGCGTGGATTTCTCTCCGGATCTTGCCGGGTTTTCCCCTACACATTTAGAATCAACAACACCACCACCACCACCACGCGTTTAGAGTTATTTAGCTGATGCTGTATTTGTCCGCATGATGATGATAGGCCACTTCGTTGAACTTTCATTTGTGATAGCCAGCTCAGTGGCGCCTTACCTGGTAAAATAAAAATAGTTGAGTTTTAGTATGGGCCTCTTTGGGTTGCTGTGGATCTCTGCAGGTCTATGGGTCTCTATGAGTATGGTCAACGCACTGCGAGGTGCATAGGATCGACTCCATCTCCCGAAGGTTGGTGGTATTGGTGGGGTAAAGTGTGGGTACTCCCACCTCTTAGCGCGGTTGGCTACGTACGGTACGAAAGAGGTTCAACGAGGACAAAGATCCCCATGGGTGAGCTCCCTCTGGTGGAGGCCCTCTTGTCGCCAGCGATTCCCATGAAGGAGGCCCGATCGCCCGAAACGTCAATTATAATTTAGTTTAACTTTAAGGAAGTGGCTTTCGAATTCGTTTTTTTTTTATTCTCGTGGTGGCTAAGAGATGTTGACTACCTCGCCTGGTGTACAGGAGGTGGTGGGTTCAATCTCGACCCTGACGCCACGGTGGGTAGGAAATGTTGACTACCTCGCCTGGTGTACAGGAGGTGGTGGGTCCAATCTCGACCCTGACGCCACGGTGGATAGGAAATGTTGACTACCTCGCCCGGTGTACAGGGGGAGGTCGTGGGTTCGATCTTGACCCTGACGCCACGGTGGATAGGAAATGTTGACTACCTCGCCTGGTGTACAGGAGGTGGTGGGTCCAATCTCGACCCTGACGCCACGGTGGATAGGAAATGTTGACTACCTCGCTTGGTATGCAGGAGGTCGTGGGTTCAATCCTGACCCTCACGCCACGGTGGATAGGAAATGTTGACTACCTCGCCTGGTGTACAGGTGGAGGTCGTGGGTTCGATCTTGACCCTGACGCCACGGTGGATAGGAAATGTTGACTACCTCGCTTGGTACACAGGAGGTCTAGGGTTCGATCTTGACCCTCACGCCACGGTGGATAGAATCTTGTTAACTACCTCGCTTGGTGTCCCGCACTCCGAGTGCACAGCGCACGCTCTGTGTCACACGCCCTGTGTCACACGCCCTGTGTCACTGTGTCACACGCCCTGTGTCACACGCCCTGCGTCACACGCCCTGTGTCACACGCTCTGTGTCACACGCTCTGCGTCACACGCCCTGCGTCACACGCCCTGCGTCACACGCCCTGTGTCACACGCTCTGCGTCACACGCCCTGTGTCACACGCTCTGTGTCACACGCCCTGTGTCACACGCCCTGTGTCACACGCCCTGTGATATCTGCTTCAGTGTCCCGTCACTTGCAGAAGAAGAAGAAGAAGCCGGGATCTCAGAGGTAGCTCTGTCATATCCACTTCATTGGGCCGTTCTGTGTGTGGACCACTGTCACCTCCGATTAGCACGGTGGGCTCTGTATGGTGCGAAATAAGTGTAACATCCATACGTACATTGAAGAAGGGATCTCAGAGGGCGGCTCTGTGATATCCGCTTCCACGAGCTGTTTTGTGTGGATCAGAGTGGGTCACTTGAATTAGAAGCAGGGGTCTGAGTGGTGGCTCTGTGATATCCACTTCTGCGGATATCACAGCTGAATGTAAAACTTGGCAGCTCGTGAGGTTGACAGAACAAGACCGTAATTATAATATTTATTGGGGGGGGGGGGACACACCTCACCCCCCCAATATTCAAATATGCTCAAAATGTCCCCCCCCCCCCCAATATATTGCAATAAAATAGAAGTATGTGTATATGATTGTGGTTATGGTTGTTACTTTATCAATCCCTAATCTCTGCCATTACATACAATGGAACAAGAAATGGTAAAAACAAAGCAATGTAATGCAATATACACTCTTAGACATTATTGTTAAAAAAAGTCCATCCTATCTGTTAGTGAATTTTGTAATATTTTAGGCAGGAAATTATTTTTCGAATGTAGATTTTTTTTTCTGGGGGAGGAGGGGGGGTCCCCAGACCCCCTGGAAGATTTGCCTCCATGGCTGGCGCCGGTGGGGCCCGAGAAAAACCTCGGGCGAAACGAATCACAACATCAACAACAACAACTATTATTATTATACAAAGACAGATGACTGAGAGGGGAAAAAAGTCCAACGTTGCAAAACATGTGAGTAGCCGTCGTGGTCAAACTTTAATAATTTTTTTTAAAAATGTCCCGCGCCAGTTAGTTTTAGATGTAACGCCCCCCCACACACACACAGAGACAAATATCACCCGTGTAAGCCTGTAACAGACTGTTGGGGCAAGTGCTGTTAGCGAGCACCTATGAAGGCCGGCACTGTGGCACACGAGGGGGGTGGGTGGCCAGCACCACGCCCGACCGCCTTTGTCTCCCCAGTGGCGATGTTTACCACACACCGCACCAGGTACTCGTTTGAGGCTGAGTCACTGGGTGTTGGTGGTGGCCGTGAGCAGAAATCGAACTCGGGTAGCCGGGTTCATAGTGCAGTGCACTAACCGCTACACGACCGCTCCCCCC